AGATTCAGGTAGGTAGCCATGTTGGTCTGACACAGTTGAAATAAATAAATAAATAAATAAATAAATGAAAAATTGTCCAGTAGCACCTTAGAGACCAACTAAGTTTGTTCTAGTATAAGCTTTCGTGTGCATGTACACTTCTTCAGATACACACGAAAGCTTATACTCAGAACAAACTTAGTTGGTCTCTAAGGTGCTACTGGACAATTTTATTTATTTATTTCGTCTACAATGGTATTAAATTTGTGTCTGTGGAAATTAACGTTTCTCTCTTCACATGAGAGGGTTATGTTCACACTGAATTGCACCAGTTGGGACATCTTTTTGCTACACTCATGAGTAGTATAAGGGTGCTATTTCCTGTCAAATGCTTATGCCCCACCCCTAGAGTTTGATTGGTCCCCCTATACAGAGGTACCTCGGGTTACATACGCTTCAGGTTACATTCGCTTCAGATTACAGACTCCACTAACCCAGAAATAGTGCTTCAGGTTAAGAACTTTGCTTCAGGATGAGAACAGAAATCGTGCTCCGGCAGCACGGCAGCAGCAGGAGGCCCCATTAGCTAAAGTGGTGCTTCAGGTTAAGAACAGTTTCAGGTTAAGTACGGACCTCCAGAACGAATAAAGTACTTAACCCGAGGTACCACTGTACTACTCTCATGCCTAGAAGGTTGGGCAAGTGACACAATTCGTCGTGGAGCTTCCATCTTCCCACACACTAATTTTCTTGTCTGATGCTATTGTGGTTATTAACAACCCATTTCAGAATGTGAATCAGGGAGCTATTTCCATTGCTATAATTAGGGATGAGTCGAAACTGCTCAAGCTGTTCTTTTTGGTTTGTGTTGAAAAGCACCCCCTGCTTTCAGCAATGCACATCCGGCATTCATGTGGTTTGGATGCCGTTCTTCTTGATGTCGTCATAGAATCATAGAATCATAGAGTTGGAAGAGACCACAAGGGCCATCGAGTCCAACCCCCTGCCAAGCAGGAAACACCATCAGAGCACTCCTGACATATGGTTGTCAAGCCTCTGCTTAAAGACCTCCAAAGGAGACTCCACCACACTCCTCGTCATTCAGCTTTATTTGATCCCGGGGTGCCATCTGGCCCTCAGGATTGTGGGAGCCCACCACTGCGGAAAGGAGGAGGAAAAGGAGCTACTGCCACTGGCTGCCACAACACGGACGTGCAACTTCTCACACACAACTACACGTAGTGCGTGTGACATCACATGCACTATTTGCAGGCGTGTGCGTGTGACATTGCACATTCATGTAATGGCGGCCAGTGGCAATGGCTCCTATTCCTCCTCTTTTCCACAGCCAGTGAGGCACACTTTTCTGTGAGAGGCTCAGTCTCAGAGGCAGAGAGACTGCCTCTGTGTCCAAGCCCCTGTTCTCAAAAAGGGTGTCTTGCTGGAGGGTTGTGGAGGGTGGAGCTGAACTGCTTCTCTCTTAGAGGCTTTTCTTATTGACTTTGTGGGTCCCCAGCCCCCACAATTATATTATTGCAGTTGCCCAAGCACCCACAGGCCCCCAAAGTTGGCTCCTGTGTTTGATCCACAGCCATTTAATCCAATTGGATGTAACATTTTTGTCAACGGAGTCACAACTAATGGTCAGGTATGGTGGAAGTTGTAGTTAAAACATATGGAGGGCGCCATGTTGATTACCCCTGTCTTAAAGCATGGCATGTTCCTCTACCTAATCCTTTAGGCGGAAATGACAGGGGCTGAATTTGGAACCTTGGCGTGCAAATAATGTGTTCAGCCACAGAGTGATGGCCCTAAACCATTAGAGGAGGCCTACATAAGTGGCAGTCTATTAAGCCAATCGGCAATGTGGGGCAGGACCCCAGGGACTTTGTAAGTCTGTTTTTGCTATTCTGGACAGCAAAACTAGGGGGGTTGTCAAGCACTTTATTATGGCTAAAGGGCTGTGTATTTGGCTTGGTGGGTTATCAGCAGTGTTCTAATGGCAAGTTGTCCCAGCCAACTTTAGTAGCATGATGGTGATGAAAAATTGGAATTGAACAATGTGTACAGGCCTCGGTTGAGAAGGTGGGTATTGTCCAGCTTCAACTATTGTTCAGTCTTGCTTTGGCCTTTTTATTCTAGGAAAAGCCAGAACCAGGCAGGGTATATGTGCTGGTGGTTGCATTAGAAAGGTTCTACAGATGAAAATCACTAGCCACATTGCAACTGGCATATCTGATGCTTCTACTACAACTGCATATCTAAAAGCTTGGCAAGGAAATCTGCCTGCCATAAGTTATATAGCATTTCAGCATTGTAACAGTCCATCCAGTCCACCTGGTCTTTTGGGAACCATTTTTGGATGCTTCAAAGAAATACTTCTTCAAAAAATGCTTCATTTTTTTCACGTGAAGCAATTTCCAAGGGGGGGGGGAGAAAGTTCATCCACCTATTTTGTTGCTGTGGTTACTATTAATCATGATCAACGGCCACTTTAATTTCATGGGATAAGTATAAGTACCCAAGACAGGGAGATCAAGCAAAGGATTTCCTTCTAAGCATACCTCATTACAGGGCATAGCTCAAAGAAAGTGGCTGTCGGTGGGTTTTCTTTTGCGCCATTTTATGAGATGTCATAAAATGGCGCAAAATTTTCTGTTTTACGCCTATTGGGTTTTCGTTATGAAGTTTAAGAATATTTCACAGACAAACAGCAAACCCGCTGACAATTCTTTTGGCCAACCTTTTCCTTTATGTATTCAATTTGTATCCCAGTATATCTCCCAAAGCAGCCTCAGAATTTAGGATCTTTGCCTCCACCCCACTAAGCTATTGGGTAGGATTTTACCATCTCAAGTCGAGCTAATTCTTCTGTATTTGTAGACCAGGCCTCATCCAAGCAACTATGGACCCCTCCAGACACCCTTTTTATTGTTCATTTTTTATTATTTGAGCTGATAATGCTATTGGGCTGGTCATGGGTGACCCCACTTTTGATATTACTTGCTGCTGCAAAATTCTGGAGTGGCCATATTGCTCCATTTCTAATGTGTGCCTCCCATTACTTCCTGCTGAAATCCTGTTCCAGTTTATTTTTTGTCTCCACTTTGTTGCACTGTAAAAAGGGTAAAGGTAAAGGATTCCTGACACTTAAGTCCAGTAGCAGACAACTCTGGGGTTGGAGCACTCATCTTGCTTTACTGGCCGAGGAGCCAACATTTGTCTGCAGACAGTTTTTCTGGGTCATGGGGCCAGCATGACAGAGCAGTGCACGGAAACACCATTTACCTTCCCGCCGGAGCGGTACCTATTTATCTACAGTGGTGCCCCGCAAGATGAATGCCTCGCAAGACGAAAAACCCGCTAGACGAAAGGGTTTTCCGTTTTTCGATGCGCTTCGCAAGATGAATTTCCCTATGGGCTTGCTTTGCAAGACGAAAACGTCTTGCAAGTCTTGCGATTTTTTTCGCTCCCCCCCCCTTTTTCTAAGCCGCTAAGCCGCTAATAGCCTTTTCGCCGCTAAGCCTTTAATAGCTGCTAAACTGCTAATCCGCTAAGCCGCTAATAGGGTTGCTTCGCAAGACGAAAAAACTGCTAGACGAAGAGACTCGTGGAACGGATTATTTTCGTCTTGCGAGGCACCACTGTACTTGCACTTCTTTGTGTGCTTTTGAACTGCTGGGTTGGCAGGAGCTGGGACAGAGCAATGGGAGCTCACTCCGTCGGTGGGATTCAAACCGCTGACCTTCCAATCGGCAAACCCAAGCCTCAGTGGTTTAGACCACAGCGCCACCTGCGTCCCTGTCACACTGTAGCTCCTGCAAATAGCAGTTATGTGGTAGCACTGGTGAAGCATTGCAATACAGACTAATTGAAGCAGAATAAATCCACCAATGATGAACTATTATTGCATCAATAATGTGTTGCAAAGCACATTGCAGCAAAATACCTGTCTCAAGAGAGGGCCTACATTAGCATATATAAGTTTAGTTATACGTCGTTGTTTTCTCAGAGAGAGGGGGGAATGGAAAACACTTATGTAAGACAGAAGCCAGGTGCATGCATGCAGTTTATTTAAAATGCAGAAGAGGGTTTGGAGTTCTTGACAAGAAGCAAAGTGTAGGCAGTGATGTTACAACCGTGTAGATACAGACAGCACAAGAAGTTTTGAACCAGTCTTTAAACAAAATAGAAATGCATGCATTGAAGTGTGGGTAAAACATATAAAAGTGCTTAATTGTTACTAATTTTTATTGCAAGTAGAGCCGAAACAGAATTTCACAGAATAATTCTGAAGATTTCTTGATATATATTTTTTGAATTCCATAAACAGCTTTTAGGAAGGTTGAAACACAATTCTTGTAACCAAAACCAGGGTACTGATGCACAAGTTAACTGCAGGTAAACACACCACACACCATCACTTCCCCCAACCCTCAAATCTGGCTGCTAACAATTTTGGATTAATTTGACCTCTAAGCACCCACATCTGTTGCAGGTCTAGTTGCAACAATTTATATCAAAGGGAGCTTTCTGGTATGATGAGAGCATACATGCAAAGCAGGGTCAACAAAAACCAACTGAGTAAAATATGCATATAGCTAAATGTCATTCCTGTGCAACACAACTGGAAAGAGAAATGCTACTTTGCAATCTCATATCGGACAGTGAAGCCATTGCTTCCCCTTCTGAAATGCTTTGCTAGAACAAGGAGGGGGGATTTCTGGATCCAAATGTAGTGAGTCCTAATTTAGCCTGTGCAAGAAAACCCGGGGGGTGAAAAGGGGGGAAAGGAGAAACCATGGAGGGAGATTGCTTGCATAGCCAAAATAATTCCCAAAGATAGCTACTGAGCCACTGAACTCAAGCTACAGCAATCCACAAGAAATCAGAAACTTCTCTGCTAGAGATCGTATGTTGGGCAGGGCTGTTACTTTAGCACATGGCTGCCACTGGCCACAAATTGAATGATTCGTGCAGCTGTCTACAGGCGGGCTTCATTCCTTCCCAACAGCTGGGCTTCAGTGGAGGCATTTTCTGGATGAAGAACTGACAGATGTTACATGCACATTTCTAACACCGGTGGTGCAGTCCCCTCGAGAACCGCCATATATAGCTGATAGCATGCCTCCACCAGACCCGGTGCCATAAGCCCCCCCAGCAGCCAAGTTCTGTACTCCAACCCCATAGCCCCCACTCCCAGAGGAGCTAATTCCTCCGGCTCCCCCGACTGCGTGGTGGATCCCACCGTGGTGCCCACCTCCACAACTCCCTTCTGTAGAAATGCCTGAGCTGTGCCTGCCACCCCCAGAGGTCACCTCGTGCTTAGAGGTAGTAATGCTTGAAGCGTAGCCTCCGCTTCTGGAACTGAACCCTCCTGCAGCTCCTACTCCACCGCTATGTCCAATCCCATAACCAACACCGGCCGCTCTGCCTACTGAGCCAGCTGCAGTTCGGGAGCCCATTGTGTGGACACATCCTGCACTTCCAGAGCTGAACCCGTCCCCAACGCCGCCGTAGGCGCCAACTCCATGTTCTACACCTCTTCCTACAGCAGCTCCATAGGCCATTCCAGCTCCCACTCCAGGTGCACATTCGCCAACTGGGAAGCCGCCACTCACCATAGCTGTGAAGGAAGACCAAGAAAGCAGGTTCTGTTATTTTGCTGATAGATTTACAAATCCAAACAAACAAGCAAACAACCCCCCAGTAAGCTGTTGATTTGTTTTGGAACGAGGTGAATGTTGAATATACTCACCAACGCTGACAGGGTTCCCTGCACATATCCTGTTAGGAACAGAGAAACAAAATGCATTCATTATTTTACCACACCAGAATGGCTTACATATGGCATTTTTGTACGTGAAATATACTCGGAGTTGAGAGTGGATTTTGTGCTCTTTATTCCGCTCATAGTGGTGAGGAGGAATGGAAGTTCCCCCACAATATCTGCTTTATATACATGATTTACACAGTGGGCTGCACGTGATTGGCTAATTCCGGGATTCTCCTGTAGGCCAATCAGGTTGTGGATTCACTTCCAACTGGAGCTGGATTGGGTGGCTCCTGCGGACCAATCATACTGCTGCATTGTTCTAGGATCAATCTGACTGCTGCATTTTGGATCCTATTCAGCTCAGTACATAACAGTACGGTTGACATATTTTGAAGACGAAAAAAGAGGATGCGGGGGGGGGGAGTCTTGGTGGTGGTGGTGAATCTAACAGAGGGGCCCCCGGTCTATATGCCTTTTCATGCACAATTTACCCCAATATGTGCATTTTTACACACATTACTTGGCTGGAAAATTGCATCACAAAAGCCAGTGAAGTGTGAATTTTGCAGGATGGCTGTGATTCTGTACGCACTATGTTTTGGAAAGTGGAAAATTGGTAGATGCAACTTTGAATGTGACCTGAATCAAGCTTTTCCCACATCCCTACTTATGGTCCTCCATATGCTGTGGGTCTGCAACTTCCACCCTCCATAATCATTGCCCATGCTACCCGGGGCAAATGGTAGCTAGAACCCCAAAACATATCCATTCAATTATATGTATATATTCAAAATGGCACCCCACCTGTTCTCCTCTCCTTCCAACATTGCTTTATAAGTAGCAATCTCAATATCCAAAGCCAGCTTGGTGTTTAGCAGCTCTTGATAATCACGAAGCAGGCAAGCTAATTTATCTTTGGCCTGCTGGTAGGCTGTCTGCAGCTCAACATGCTTGCTCCGTGCATCTTTTAGGGCAATGTCACCACGCTGCTCAGCATCGCAGATAGCTGACTGCAGGCTTGCAACCTGGGAATGGGGAAAAGAATAAAAATTAATGGTTCGTCGGGAGGATACTCAAGATAAAGCTAAAAGCAGAAGGAAATGGGATCTCCGTGGTTTCTTGCAGTGCTGATGAGTGAGGGCAGGGATAGGGAACCTGTGGCCCTTCAGACATTGTTGGACTCCAAATCCTACCAGGCTCAGCCAGCATAGCCATTGGTCAGAGGTGGTGAAGTCCAACAACATCAAGAGAGCCACTGTTTCCCTACTCCTTAAGTAGTAAAAGCAAGCACTGGCTTTCCTCTCTGCTGCTGCAACTTGTCTTCTACAGACCTTGCCACTGCAAAGAATAGGAAAGGGCTATGTGATTTTTCTCAAGGGCTTTTCTTATCATCCTTTTCAATGGTTAGTCATGGATATGGTTGAGATGGCTTTCTGAATTCTCCTCAGCATATATTCTTCAAATATCCCCTGAACACTCATATATGATATTGTTAGACAATCTGTAATGATGACACCCAATGATATCTGGTTTACAGTCATACCTTGGAAGTCAAACAGAATCCGTTCCAGAAGTCCGTTCGACTTCCAAAACGTTCTGAAACCAAAGCGCAGCTTCTGATTGGCTGCAGGAAGCTCCTGAAGCCAATCAGAAGCTGCGTAAGCCCCTCTGGACAGTCGGCTTCCAAAAAAAGTTCAAAAACCGGAACACTCACTTCCGGTTTCCGATCGTTCAGGAGGCAAAACGTTCGGCAACTAAGTTGTTCAAGATCCAAGGTACGACTGTATATCTTGGAGATTTAACTTTGAGATATGATTTCAGTCATTGGAATTTTACAGTATATGAATGGCTAACATGTGATGGGGTTTAAATATTTAATAGTTCATTTGCAATGGGCATTTCAGATGTAACCATCTTTGATAGTTGCCATGTGCTAGCATTTAGTAGTTGGCAGTATCTGATGCCTTATGACCAAAAGATCAAAGTCACCAGGATGACAGGACGTCATCCATTGGGCATGCCTTATACCAAGTCAGACTATTGCTCTATCTAGCTTAGTATGGTCTACTGTGATGGTCAGTGGCAATGCAGGCATTTTTCAGCCCTGCCTGGATATTCAGGGGATTGAACCTAGGAGCTGCTGCAAACAAGGCAACTGTTCCACTATTGCTATGCAGCCTCACAGCACACAACTTTTTTGAGAGCTGGTCAATCTGCTCCTCCTCTGCATCAGTAATAATCAAATGATCTTATGGTATTCAATACAGAGGCACAGCAAAATCATTCCCAGCAGAGGCAACAGGAAGGAAGGAAGGAAGGAAGGAAGGAAGGAAGGAAGGAAGGAAGGGCAGAATGTTGCTATATCTGGGATCTTTCTTGCAGCACACCCTCCAACCATTATCACAGTTGGGGAACTACTATATTAGGCCTTTGTCTATGGGTAGCTCATGATCAGCACTGTTGCCGTTACAGGAAGACAAGTTCATCCGCTGAGACAAGTGGCTAAAACAAACTTGCTCTACCTGCTTCTTTGCATTGTCAGTATCACTATGCAGCCTCTGGATCACTCTGTTCAGCTCTGTGATCTCATGCTGGTTGCATTTAAGCTCTTCGTTGAATTTGCCCCGATGGTTCTGCATTTCTGCAATCTAGTGCAAGGAAAACACAGTTACTTCTGGGAATCAGCACCACCTGAATAGCTGCTGAACTGTCAAGGTAAGAAACCAGTGCTTCATCTCCTGAAATAGCCCAATAACTGTGCACTTACTGAAACATGAACATTTTTATTTATATATACACAGTGGAGTATCCAGTTAATTACTTCCACCAGTACAAGAATTTCTGCTTCTATAACTGAACTTCCTGTCCCTCTCCCTGCATGCCCTTGCACTCTCCCAAAATCTGATCTGGAGGCCTGGGGGAACCTCCAGAGCGGATTTAGTGTGGTGTGGAGTAGGGCACAGGGAGAGGAGATGGAGGGAAGTTCCATTGCACAGCCAAAGGTCCTTGTGCTAGAGAGAGTACTTTGTTGGATACCACCCACAACTTTGATCTTTAATCCAGGGGATAAAAAGGAGTGCAGGTAGTAGCACCCAAATAAATCTGAATTGTGCACTTTGTGTACATGCGGGCAAGTCTTGAATTTGAAATGCTGGATTCTATTGGCACAGCCCATTATTGGGAATTTATGTACAATGTCTACTATAGTGATGTTTGCAGTATAACTCTTAAATGATAACGACATAACTTAGCCAAAGTTGAGGCACAGTCCAAAGTGCATTTTTAAGGGAATAAGATGCACTGAATTTTAAGGGCTTTATTAGGATCCCACTTTAATTCTAGGCTGCATTATGTTACAACTTGTGTGTGTGTATGTGTGGCCAAAATGCCTCTAGTTTTGACCTAGAGCAAAGGACCACTATCTAGAGCAGGGGTCGGCAAGGCTTATCACTCCTGCGGAGATCCTCCTAGGCTGGTCCAGCGCAGCACAATGCCGGAAATCGCGTCTGCGCATGTTCGCGGCTCTGAAAACCGTTTCTGCGCATGTTCGCGGCTCTGAAAACCGCTTCTGCGCATGTTCGCGGCTCTGAAAACCGCGCCTGCACAGAAGCAATTTTTGGCATCTGGGCATGCGCAGAAGTGATTTCCAGAGCCGCGGAAGAGAGTCCCTGTGCTGCGCTGCACCGGTTTAGCGCAGCATGCAGGGACTCACTGAGCTAGCGGCTCGGTTCAGGGGTATCTCGTGAGCTGGTTAAATGGTCTCTGTGGGCTGCTTCCGGCCCATGGGCCTTAGGCTGCAGACCTCTGATCTACATTGTGCACATAGATCTCTAAACGATCTTCCGCAATAGTTTCAGTAACCATCAACTCCATAATGAATTATTTTAAAAAAGCAACATATGCTTCAGAGTCAATAGGTTTGCTGCAGGGTAGAGAGATCATGGCTGCTGAACAATCTGCAGTCTGGTACATGAAAGAAGGGTCTCTGCCTTGCTGCCTGAGTGCTGATGTTCAAGTCAAGCACTTGTGTTGCCACATTCCAAGCTGCACATTCCAACATCATAATGGTTCCTTGGGCTGAAATGGCACCGTGACCATACATTATAGTATGAATAAAGGGGCAGCTGTATTCTTGTTGCACTAAATACTGATCATCTGCAGAGAACCCTAAATGGGGATTAATTCTTGTACTCTGACTCACCTTGTTGTGGTAAAAAGCTTCAGCTTCTTGTTTGCTGGTATGAGCAATATTCTGATACCAGGCTTCTACGTTTTTAAGGATGAGGTCCATGTCCAAGTCACGTGTGTTGTCCATTTTCAGAACCACCGAGGTGTCGCCAATCTGGTGGTCAAACTGAGCCAACTCCTGCAGAACATGATATGGTCTCACTGTAAGATTGCACATTGCTAACCTTTCCCTTTTAAACATCATGCTCCTAATTTGGTCAAACAAATGAGTTGGACTACTTACTGGGCTTTTCAAATTGCTCTTATTAAGACAAATTCTGTAAAAATGTGCTGGATCGCAATAACAACAGATGCTCCCAAGCTGTCTTCAAAGAGACATTTGTAGGGAATAACTTCTACCCAATATTAAAATGTAAACATTTAGGCAAATGGAGACATTCCCATTGAGTATGGTGGGAATAAACTGAATTTGTAGGATGCAACCTCCATCCATCCAAATAAATATGCCCCCTGTTCTTGTTTTCATTTCTACCATCTTTTCTGCAACATGACTCAAGCTCCGATGCATATAGTACATACAGTAGCTCTTCACATAAACAAGAGTTTCCTCTTCCCTTCAGTTGTTCCTTAAAAGGTAAAGGTACCCATGACCATTAGGTCCAGTCGCGGACAACTCTGAGGTTGCAGCGCTCATCTTGCTCTATAGGCCGAGGGAGCCGGCATTTGTCCACAGACAGCTTCCGGGTCATGTGGCCAGCATGACTAAGCCACTTCTGGTGAACCAGAGCAGCACATGGAAACGCCGCTTACCTTCCCTCCAGAGCGGTACCTATTTATCTACTTGCACTTTGACGTGCTTTCGAACTGCTAGGTTGGCAGGAGCAGGGACCGAGCAATGGGAGCTCACCCCGTCGTGGGGATTCGAACTGCCAACCTTCCGATCGGCAAGCCCTAGGCTCTGTGGTTTAGACCACAGCACCACCCGCATCCTTACAAAGCTCCAAACAGGAGATTCCACAGGGGTGAATAATGACGTGGGACTTTGTGACTCTCATTTTACATTTGGGGAAACTGAACTGAGTCTGACATGGTGGCTTGCCTCAGGCACCTTCAGTGAGCCTGTGTAGCAGTTGTGGAGGGTGACCAAGCATACCTAAATCCCATTTTGTAAAAGATGTCCAAGTAATAAGTTCCTATTTCTTTAGGGACAAGCTTCCCACATGGTTCATATTAAATTGTACCTCTGCAAAGACACATCTCAGGACTTCCAACTCTTGTGCCAACACATCTACTTTGGATTCTAGTTCTTCCTTGGTGAGGAATACGCTATCAACATCCTGGAGAGAGAAGGAAAACACACACAAAAAATGAAAGGAAGGAAGGAAGGACTGGTAGTATTGAATTTAATAAAGCTAAAAATAATTCTTGGAATTGGCATTTTCATGATTCCAGAAAGCAGAAACATCTCCAGGCATCATTTCCTGCTGTGTGTGTACAGAGTATCTGCTTTAACTGAGGTGCATATAAGGTAGGTTTGGGGGCAAGGTATCACATGGACGGTTCCAGGTGCTCCATGGTAGTTAGACTGTATGTATGTAATTAATATTTTCCAGGCCACAACTTCTTACCTTTTTGAGCACCACAAATTCATTTTCTGCTGATGTGCGCCTATTGACTTCCTCTTCGTATCTGTTTTGAGAGAGAAGGGGAAACACTTAGGGTTTGCTCTTACTTTTGGAAGAATTTAACAGAAAACCTGCTTTGCAAGAACCATCAGTGGGACCCAAGAAAGGAGTGTTTACACTAAGGAAGGGGTCAGCAAGGTTTATCTTGCCTGGGATGGATTGGTCCCATGGAGATCCCTCTGTTGGCCAGATTGCATGTGCAATTGCAGACGCAATTTCGGCGCCACGAAAGCAAGTCCCCATAACGCACTGCGCTGGTTTAGCGCAATGGGCGGGCAGGCAGCTTGGTTCGGGGGCAGCTTGTGGGCTGGTCAAACGACCTCCATGGGCCACTTCCGGCCCATGGGCCTTAGGTTGCTGACCCCTGCACTAAGGCATAAACAAAATTGGGAGTGTTTTTCTTAAACAACTTTGGCAGTTCTGGAAGATTCCCCCATTGGCTGATTTTCCAGAGATTGCATGAAAGTGCTTACCACTCCAGAGTGAGGGCAATCAGTCATCCAGTTGCCTAGAAACACCCACATGACTGATATAAAGATATATTGGCCTCACTCTGAATTGGCTTCATTTATCCAAAATGATGTCATTGTGTAGTCAAATCTGATTGGCTACCTAGTCCCATGAAAGAATGATGGGATCATGGGATCAAACAGGGTGGGGAAGCAGTTCTCTGAAGAACAAAATAGCACGAATTGAGCAGCACAGAGGATGGAACAACGGTAGTGACCAGAAACCAGCTGAGTTTTTAAAAATTAAATCTTCTCAGTTAAACACGTTTTTGGTAGGCAACTGTGCTTAACTGTTTGCAAAACAAACTTCCCTTATATAATGGATTTTGTATGTTATTTTGTTGTACCGGTATGTTATTTTCACAAATATATGCATTCTATTCACATTTTACCCTAGTACATGCATTTTTGTACACATTGCTTGGTTGGAGAACTGCATTGCATAATTCAGATAATTTTGAAGGATGGCTGGGTTTCCCTTAATGCACTTTTTCAGAAAGTGCAAATGAGTAAGTTTGCTTTTAATTGTTCTTCCCCATCTCTAGAGATGGCTACAGATTCAAATGGCTATGTATATGAGCCCTTCAGTATCAAACAATCTTATCTTGAAAAGCAGCTATGCAGATTAATGGGTGATCTCAAATTAATGGATGATATCAAATCAAATTAATGGGTGATATCATCTGCATAAAGCAGATGAAATAAATTAAGTCCCTTGATTTCAATGGGGCTACTCTGAGTGTGACTTAGTTGGCTTTCTCCCAATGCGTAGAAGGGGAAATTGGAATAGAACCTTTTTTCCCAAAAGAAGAAGAAGAAGAATTAAAATGGCCCCTCTACTCCTGGGTGAGGAGTTAGGGAGACTGCAAAACTTTCATCTAGTGCAGTGGTTCTCAAACCTTTTTCTCAGGGCCACATTTTCAGAATAAAAAATTGATCCTGCCACACCAAATTTTATTGATGAGAAGCACATTGGAAAACAAAACAACTCCCAGCAGTGCTTGATTTTGAAAAGATATCTATCTATATTCTGCAAAAAAATAAAAATAAAATAAAAATATACTACACCAGGCACATCCAACTCTCAAGAGACTGTGATCTACTCATAGTATAAGACAACTGGACAACTGACCCATTGTCAGTTTTTTTGGGGGGGTACATTGCTGGGGGTCCACAGTCCACAGATCAACCACAATCGACCAGGGGAGCACCGTGATCGGCCAGTAGATAGTAGATCGCGATCGACCTGTTGGACATGCCTGTACTACACTATACTACACTGAAATGTTTGAATGCTTCCTTGATTGTCCTTGAATTTTCCCACCACACTAGCCATCGTCTCCTGTGGTACGCGACACCCTTTGCAAACCACTGATCTAGTGAATGAGTTTACTTACTTTGACCTGTAGTCCTCTACCAGTTCCTGCATGTTCTTCTGTTCATGTTGCAGTTTCTGTCTCTCACTCAAGAGGCATTCTAGCTGCTTCTTAAGTGCGGCCAGGAAATTCTCATAGTAGCCTTCCAGGTTCTTCCTTGCAGGTTGGACACACTGGTGCAGAAGCTCCCACTTGGTGGCAAGCACCTTATTCTGCTGCTCCAGGGATCGGACCTGAAAGGAACATGTTGTTATTTAGTCGTTTAGTCATTTAGTATTGTCTGAGAGCCAGTGTGGTGTAGTGGTTAAGAGCGGTAGACTCGTAATCTGGTGAACTGGGTTCGCTTCCCTGCTCCTCCACATGCAGCTGCTGGGTGACCTTGGGCTAGTCACACTTCTTTGAAGTCTTTCAGCCCCACTCACCTCACAGAGTGTTTGTTGTTGGGGACGAAGGGAGGAAGGGAAAGGAGAATGTTAGTAGCTTTGAGACTCCTCCGGGTAGTGATAAAGCGGGATACCAAATCCAAACTCTTCTTCTTCTTCTGACTTTTCATGAACCCATGGACCAGAGCATGCCAGGCATTCCTGTCTTCCACTGCCTCCTAGTTATACTTTCCACTCTGGCAGGTCTCCCAACAAGGCCTGATTTCTTGCTGTGCATTACATAGCACAATTCAGAGGTGAGAACACACTTTCTTGCTCATGCTTTTTTCAGCAACAATCCAAAATGAAACCTCGCCCCTGTGGAGATCAAATTGCAAGGCCTAAAAACTTATGGGTAGGCTACAGTTCAGTGGCTTACTATATGTTACCCCAGTTTGGTTAAATGCCTTCAACCAGGCTACTGAAAGATTTCAGTTTTCCTCCGAAAATTCTTTGGTGTATCAAATTGTGTTCCCTATGCTGATTTATGTCTAGAAACAAACCAAGTACTTTTAGAAACAAAAGCTTCGTTCCTACCATTTAACTTTTAGCTGTGGCTGTGGACCTAATATTCTTGTTGTGGCCATGTTAGCTGAATACCAATAATCGGGATGGTTAAGAGGGATGGAAAACAAAATTAAACAGATAGGAATCCCACTAGACTCCTTGTACTGCTTATCAGAAAATCCTCTGTTTGAGATAATGAAATGCAGATTGTCAGACAATGGGTTTCAAGAATTTAGTAGCCAAATCAGGAATAGGGTTTGTGCAAGTTTGGGGGTGGTGCGATGGGAACAGTCAGTGGTGACTTATCTCTACCAATTGACCAACCCAAATGAATGAAGGGTCTACATGCTACAAACGCCACCGCTCCACACCACCCATGGTCTGAAGAGGTAACATCCTGCATTCTGTCACCTTGGTCTACCACCTCACTTTGCATTATGGTTTTTTTAAAAAATAAATAAATAAATAAAACCAAAACAAACAAACCCTCTTTTAATAATACTTCAGTGAAGTTTAGTCATAGACCTCAAAACTAAGTACAAACAAACCTTTCTTGCCAGTTAACTTATGTGTTGAGCAAGATAGTCACCCACTCCCTACTGGGAATTATAGAATCATAGAATGAGAGAATTGCAGAGTTGGAAGGGACCACAGGGGTCATCTAGTCCAACCCCCTGCAATCCAGGAATCTTTTGCCCAATGTGGGGCTCGAACCCAAGACCCTGAGATAAAAAGTCTAATGCTGTACTGGCTGAGCTATGAATGAGTTGTTCAAGTTAGAAGTTAAAATTGGGCATGGGGAACCTGTGGCCCTCCAGATATTGGTGGACTCAAGCTCCCATCTTCCCTGACCTTTGACATACCCTCCAACATTTATCCAATGAAAATAGGGACGTCCCATTCCATAATGATAAATTTACTATTTATACCCCACACGTCTTATTGGGTTGCCACCAGCCACTCTGAGCAGCTTCCAACATATATAAAAACATAGCAAAACATTAAACGTTAAATAAAAACTTCCCTATACAGGATTGCCTTCAATAACTCCATACCTTCAACATTTCTCCAGTGAAAATAGGGACATCCTACCACACCCTCCAACATTTCTCCAATGAAAATAGGGGCATCATAAGGAAAATTGGGACATTCCAGGATCAAATCAGAAACCGGGATGGCATCTCTAAATCAGAGGCGCCCCTGAAATATAGGGACACTTGGAGCGTCTTTTTTGAACATGCTGTCTGGGGCTGATGGGAGTTGGAATCCAATGACATCTCTGTTCTAGAAGGTTCTTCGATGCTCTTAATTTACTTGGGGGGGGGGCACCAAAGATAAGACACTCCCACCTTTTCCAGAAGTTCTCATGGTGTTAGATATAACAGTTCAGAAACAAACCATAAGCTGATTCCCCTGATACAAAGCTCCCTGGTGCTTGTTTGAATGAAGGAACGCTCTTGTGGGTATGGGACTGGTTCTTAAGCACCCTTTTATCCGTAAGTAACAAATGAATTGGAATTCAAATGTTTAGTTTTTCAGGGAACTTATTTTCCATGCAGAAAATAAGACTGCAGCACTCAATGCATTGCAGATGGATTGTACTAAACGTATGAGAAGATTTCCAGCAGACAAGAAAAAGAAAAGGGGTGGGGGTTGTTAGCTAAAAATAATCTGAAGGATGAAGGAGAAACTAGTAGCTTTATAACTTCCCATTTCTTTTTCTCCTGTGCTGGAAATAGTCTCCTGAATCTAATGCAACCAGTCTGCACGTCTGTAATATTAAATGCTATGCATTTATTTCCTGGATGAAATATAAGTTCTCTTAAACTACTCTGCAACAAACCAGGTTGCAGTGATTCAGGATATCATTTTACTTGTATGCACGCTGAAGTTTCTTCCACTACCCAGAAGTCTTAGTAACTGTGTGAGTACAGAACTAAAATGAATTTTGTTGCAAGTAATATTTTTTTCAAACAGGTCTTGCAACTTACGTTTGCATTTTCACTCTACCTTCCAGTCTCGCCCACGACAGTTTGTGTATGTGTGTTTAAAAATAATTATAACGAGTTGCTTTTCCTCTATGATACTTGCAACATTTTTACAGGAAAATAATAGGCTATCCAGTTTGTACAAAATGAGGACAAATACAGTCTCCTGGAAAAACAATGCCATTTCATTTCTTCACTCCATGAGCTGAAACTGGAATGAGAAGCTCCCCGAAGAACCAGAGGTTTTTACAACTGATGTAAGATGGACAAAACAAAGCAGGATGGAGGGAACCAAATCTGTGTTGGATTTGACATACAAAGTAGCATGTCAGGAAAACAGAGTAAATGGAAAGCATTGGAGGGCTACTTTAGCGAATTAGGAGGAGAACTTTGAACCAAGAAGCTCATGGCTCAAATGTTGTCTTTTAGGCTGTGTACACACCATACATTTAAAGACTTTCCCCCTCAACCACCAATAATCCTGGGGTTTGTAGTTTACCCATCACATTGTTACAATTCCCAGCACCCTGAGCAAATTACACACCCCATGAGACTTCCCAGGGGTGAGGAGAATGCGCTTTAAATGTATGATGTGCATGCAGCCCTAAACAAGCTACTATCTCTTAGCCTCCCTCCCCAACTCCACTTCTGCAATAGGAGCATAATCTTTATAACAAGTCTGTTGTAAAGTTTCCTGAAATAACGCAGTGGGTCCCTTAAACCCTAAAGTGGTTTATATATGCGCTAAATGCATAGTTATGCTTCAAGAAAGGCTTTTAAGAAGTAGATTTCATGGTGGGATTTTAACCGGTGAGTAGGAAATGATAAATAGATGTGATTGGAGGGTACTTCTTGGACCAGGGAGCACCATGGCAGAAACCCAAAAGAGGAGGAAAGGGAAAGGAGCAAAGGCAGAATGAACTACAACTAAAGGAGGTTGGGGTCCTCATGGAGAAGGAGAAGGAGAAGGAGAAGGAGAAGGAGAAGGAGAAGGAGAAGGAGAAGAAGGAGAAGGAGAAGTGTTTGGACTTGATATCCCACTTTTCACTCCCCTTAAGGAATCTCAAAGCGGCTAACATTCTCCTTTCCCTTCCACCTCCACAACAAACACTCTGTGAGGTGAGTGAGGCTGAGAGACTTCAGAGAAGTGTGACTAGCCCAAGGTCACCCAGCAGCTGCATGTGGAGGAGCGGGTAAGCGAACCCAGTTCACCAGATTACGAGTCCTCCGTTCTTAGCCATTACACCACGCTGGCTCTCTTCTCTTCATTTAAAAATTGCCTTGGGGAGAAAACCCATTGGATGGCCAAGTTCTTACCTTATCGATGAAGCAGGCAAACTGGTTGTTCAAGGTCTTCATCTCCTCTTTCTCATGTGTCCGTGCTTTCTGCTCCTCTGGATCAACTCCAACCGAAAGTGGCTTCAAGAGGCGTTCATCCATCGAGACACCTCGGATCCCTTCGCCTCTGCATGGCATGCCACCACCCAAACCTCCCATTCTACCATAACCTGCAAAGCCACCCTGACACCCTTGACCGCCCATGCCCATGCCTTGACCACCCATGCCCATGCCTTGACCACCCATGCCCATGCCTTGACCACCCATAACCATGCCTTGTCCACCCATGCCCATGCCTTGGCCACCCATAACCATGCCTTGTCCACCCATGCCCATGCCTTGGCCACCCATAACTATGCCTTGTCCACCCATGCCCATGCCTTGACCACCCATGCCGATGCCCATACCACCAATACCACCATAGATTTGTCCTCCATAGCCCTGACCACAAGCAATCCTTCGACCTCCACCACCAAAGTTATTAAGGCTCACGCTGGAGTAGCCACCAGCTCCCTGCGTCCTTGCAACTGGCTGACACATAGGAGCACAGCTGCCTCGGCCACCACCCAGGCCACCAGTGACAGAAACAGAGGAAAAGCCCTTTCGTCCACCAAGGTATCGAGGACCACCACATATGTTCATGGTAGCTTTCTGAAAAGTGAAGCAAGCTGTTACTATAAGTGAAGCAATGGGACGAAGGAAGAGCAGAGGGCGAAGTGCAGAGAATCCCTTTGATATGAAATCAGGAGCTCCTCTCTTATATATGGCTCAAGAGTTGCATGGGGTGCAAAAAAATTAAATGAAACAGCATGGGTTTGGTTTGCCTAGCAGCCAGAAAAAGTTCCTTTTAGTGCAGCCTCTGCTCCAGAGCAAACACTTATCATATATGAAATAGTGTGAAATTAAAAAAAACTTGCTTTGCTTGCAAGCTTTCTTCTCAGCGGCCTTTGTGCTTTACTTTAATTAATCTGCTTCCTCAATGTGTAATTATCTTTCAGCAAAATACTTCAAGTGGCTTGTTTACAGGTGCGTTTCACTTGCAGCTTCATCCCCTTTTATGTTTAATTATGTCAGGGAACATACCATTATTGTTAATGAGCAATTTATCCAGGATTACCTTCCTCCATCCAGATAGAAGGACGGACATGGGGGAGATTGCGTTCCCAGTTGCCGCCAGCATTTTGCTCAAAGGGGAATCTGAAATGAATTTGAGGGGTACCTCCTTAATCAGAAATCACCAAGGACAGAAAAAGTTCCGTAAGATATGGGATTTCTCCAGGAGGGGGACTTCCAAAAGGCTCTGACTTGCTAGCAGACTTTTGCCTAAAGCAAAGCTGGAAGTGCATTTTGAGGCTCCTATGTTAAGCAAAACATCTGGTGTATAAGAATGTTGAGAGAATTTTTTTGGGGGGGGGGAGTCAGGGATGTTTTGTACACACCTAGCTGTATCTATCCCATGAAACAAGGAACTAGCTAATAGCAGTAAAGGGATGCTAACTAAAATAGGCATGACCTAAAGTAGAGGTGGGGAGTCTGTTGCCCTCCAGATGTTGTTGGACTCCAACTTCCACCAACCAGCAGGGGCAGTAGTCAGGGATGATGGGAACTGTAGTCAGATTCCTTGTCCATGGATTAAAGAGACAATGGAATGGTTTCAACCTGCAGATAAAATCTTCTGCTTGTGATTGACAGGCACACTGTCCAGTTTCCGGTGCTTCTGAATCAGTGCTCAAGAGTTGAACTGGCGGGGCAGGGGGATGACGCTTTCGGTCCTGGAAAAATTGGCAGATGACACTTTTGTTCTTTACTGGTTCACCCCAGTTTGGAGAATGTAATTCTCTTTGAAGACATGCTGGGTTGGGATGAGACATTTCCCAGAACCCTTGAGAAATTGGGCAGATCTAACTGAAACTATGTTGGCTTCCTACAGAATCCCTGCAGATGTTTGTCTGAATAGGAGCTCCCCAAATACCACTGAGTTTTACTGGCAGTGAAATTAGTCAAGCACACCTCCCCTGCCCACCAGATTATGCTAATAAATTGTAATGGAAATGTTTGTCTTAACCCCTTCAAAAATTCCCATAGATCTTTTGCCTGAGCTTCCAAATTTAGCCAAGATTTCTCTTCAGACAAAAATTTAGGAAGTTACACAGTGTTTCCAAAGTGAGTCTTCTTGTTTCCCTTTTAATCTTGTCAGTGACTCCGTGAGCCCAGCCGAGTTCCCACATTTTACTAGGTTTTGAGGAAAAGCTAAGTACTGTTTAGTTTGGGGGGGGGGAACGGAGAGCTGAAATTATAGAGGTTTAGAGAAATATTCATGGCATGGTGAGTAGAGAGAACTTTCTCCTCTTCATAATATCCAAACTTGTGGCCACACAAGCGAAACCAACCAAAAGCAGTCTATTAAGGCAGCCAAATACCTACTTTCTCTCACACAATTAGTAATTAACTTACAGAACTCCTTGTCAAAAGATGTGGTAATGGCCACAAGTTTGAATGGCTTTAAAATTAAATTAAGATGCATTCGTGGAAGATGGCTCTATTGTAAGCTATGAAGTCTCCCAGTTCAGAGTCAGCATGTCTCTGAAGACGAGTCTCTGGGAATATCAGGTGGTGCTCTTGTCCTCGAATCCTGCTTGTACAACAGCAGCAAGAATACTTATTGCAAAGCATTGGAAGACACAAGATCTACCCACATTGGAGGAATGGCAGATGAAATTGATGGACTACATGGAATTGGCGGAAATGACTGGCAGAATCCGAGACCAGGGAGAAGAGTCGGTGGAAGAAGATTGGAAAAAATTTAAAGACTATTTACAGAAATATTGCAAAATTAATGAATGTTAGAATGATGTTGGATTGAAGTTAAGTGGTTTCTAGCTGTAATTGGTATAAAAGAATATGGAAAAATTGGATTTTAAATACGTAAAAACCTAATGCTATAATATATTAAGATTAAAGATCAGGATTAAAAAGGAGGGAAAGCAATTGCTGAACTAATAAATTGAACTGGAATACAAAAAAGGGAGGTATGAGGAGGTCCGGGAAACAAGTAAATGAAAGAGAAGTGATGAAAAGATGGAATTGTTTTTAACTGTTCTTTTTTTGTATTTTGTATCTTGCATTTTTCTTTTTTCTTTTTTTCTTTTTCTTAGTTATGTATCCTTCTTTTGAAACCTTAATAAATATCATTTAAAAAAAACAAACGAATCCTGCTTGGTGACTTCTCACAGGAATCTGGGTGGCCAATGGGAGGAAAGGATGCTGGAGCTGATGGGTCATTGGCTCGATCCAGCAGAGCTCTTCTTATGTTCTTGTGCTCATTGCTTGAGGGCTTCCCACAGGGACCTGGTTGCCCATAGGAACAGGAAGCTGGACTGGCTAGGTCTTCAGTTTGATTCAGATTGGCCCTTATTCCTTCAGGACAGGGAAAACATTGGTGCTGTAGATGTTGCTGGAGTCTAATACACATCAGCCCCCAGCCAGCATGGCCAATGGTTAGAGAAGATGGGCCTTCACCAGCACTCTTTCCTCTTGTTCTTAAATCTACTTGCTTATTTGTCAAACAATGGTCTGAAATCACAGGAATGGAACAAAATGAATATGGTTGAGGCTTGTGAGAAAGTTATTTCAGACACAAGTATCCACATCTCAAAATCAAGTTGCTCAAACTTGTGTATTTTTTATCTTTTGAGTTGTTGGGTTTGTGAGCAACTTTTATATTGCCAGTAAGACTTCAGGTTTACCTCAGACTGCAAACACTCCTCTGTTCCTGGGCTAAAACTATGCTTCACTTTATCACTCCCTGCCCAGGGGCATCAGCCAGCCACCTTTGCTATAATCTTTTTGGTGCCTGGCCAAAACCCTTTTGGTTTAGCCAAGCCCATCCACACATACAGTGGACAGATGTTTTAATCTGTTCTTTTTTTCCAAGTTCACCATTGATTTTAATTATCTTTTGAATGTTTTAAATAGTAGTCGTTAACTTTTTTTTACTGATAATTTCATTGATTTATTCTTTTAGTAAACCACCTCTAGGTGGTATATAAACTTCATTAAATGAATAAAATTACATGTCACAGATAAAATAACAATATTATTAACTTTCTAATCCCATGGCGGCTGATCCCCACCACCTCAGTCTGCACTCAGACAGCCCCCAAACCATCCAGAGGGTGGCACTGGCTGTTGACTTTGTAGAGCTCAGCAAGGAGGATGGGGACAAAGCTAGAATTAGCCTGCTCTGCCTGCCATTGAAGCAGCTGCTGTCTGGGCTCCTTGTCTCCTGCCCTACCAGTCCTAGAGGCAACCCTGAGGAAGAAGCTGATCTGGATATAAGAAACAAGGCAGGCAGGTGAGGCTGGTGGAGCAGTGACCAACCTCCACTGCCAGCCACCAAGGTAATTCCAAACCTATAAAATATTATTAATTTATCATGTGGAAACATTATTGTATTTGTCAATATTTACGGTATATTACAGTGGTACCTTGGTTTGCAAACAGTCTGGTTTGCATACGTTTTGGATGACAAACACGTCAAACCTGGAAGTGCGTGTCCCACTTTTTTTGGATTACAACCCATTTTGGGGGGGATTACGAACAAAAAATTTCTGGAGGCCCCATTGGCAAAAGCGCACTTTGGGTTACAGCCTATTTTGGTTTACAAATGGACCTCCAGGACGGATTATGGTTGTAAACCAAGGTACCACTGTATATCTATTCTACATGATTTCATTTGAAGGATTCTGTTTCTCTTTTATTTCCAGCATTGCTTGGTTTAAGCAATTCGGGGAGTTTACATGCCTGCTACCCTCTGACGTTTTGCTGGCCATTCTCTTGTTGATGGTGACCTCTTCTTTCATTTCTGTGTAAGGAGCATGTGAGTGGCAACTATTAAGTTCCATTATCAGCTCTTTATGCTTGACTCGTTCTTCCAAGGTTAGGACATTTCGTTGTTGGCATCCGTCTGTCTCGGGAGACAATGGAGGAGTGTGTCTTTGGGGGTGAAATCAAACTGTTGGAAGCACCTGCTGTGGCTGTAGAGACCAATTCAAGAGAGACATGTTTTGTTGCAGCTGGGGCAGATGAAGGCATCCAGTTGT